ACCACACCTCCTCCCTCGGCACTCTGGCATATACTTTTTCTAAATCCACAAAGGGTTCTTTCTGAACCCTCTGTACTTCTCCATCAGCATCTTTAAAACAAAGATTACATCTGTGGTGCTATTTTTCTGCATGAAACCATACTGCTGCTCACAAATTGTCACCTCTCATCTAAGTCTAGCGTCCACAAGTCTCTCCCAGATCTTCATTGTGTGATTCATCAACTTAATTCCCCTGTAGTTGCCACAACTTTGCACATCAACCTTGTTCTTAAAAATGGGCACCAGCACACTTGTCCTCCATTCATCAAAGTTTATGCTCAATAATCCACAAAAAAAAAAACAGCAAAATTCAGTCATGTCATCTGGGTGGTTTATTATTTTGTTGAGATATTTCATCCTTCATCCAAAGGACTTCATCAGTCTGAAGAGTCACAACAAACTCAGTCCCACAAGCTGCACACTCGCATAGTGGGCCAACCAGTTTCATGGTGATAAGATGGTTTCTGTCTCCTCCATTCCTCAGGCATATTCTCACCTCAAATACTTTGTATGCCATTGAATATTTGAGTCAAAAACCTCACTGACATCTCTCCAAGACATTTCCAAACCTCCACTGGTATGTCATCAGGTCCTACTGCCTTCCCCTTTTTCATTCTTTTCAGAGATTTTCAAACTTCACCCTCACTAATCTTTCCCAATTCCTGGTCCACAGTTTCTATGACCTCTACTTTTCATTCCCGTTCATTCTCTTTATCCATTTACTTCTCAAACTAATCCTTCCAACTTCCCACCATGTTCTCCTCACTTGTTAGAGCATTGCCATTCATATATTTAACAAGCCTAACTTGCTGCACATCCTTTCCAGCCTGATCCCTCTGCCTTGCCAATTGGTACAAGTAAAAAAAAATCAAGTCAAATCACCGTAATGCCACTTTATTTGGTGATGTGTGACTTATCTGTGCTGCTGGTTAGCCATGCTGCTGATCTCATGCTGCTGATTATCTCATTCTGCTGTATTCATTTGTACCCATCCGCTCACCACAAACTCATTTTTGTGCTGCTGTTGTTATGATGTATTATTTTGCATTATTAGTGTTTAGCGTAGATCTTAGATCTTTTGGCGTGCCATTTGGCGTTCGTTTAGTGTATATCTTAGTGGATATCTAAGATCCTTATATACGGTTTCTTTTTACACTTTACATTTTTGCTATTTTTGGGTGTAACTGGGACCCTGTGTACATAATTTTGTTCCACCTCATGTACCACATGTGATGCGAATGACAATAAACCTGACTTGAATTTGGACTTATCTTTCTCGCCCTTTTTTGTGTCCAGCCTCCCATACACCTTATACTTCTTCTACTTTGTCTTAGCTACCTCCCTCGTTGTTCTATGTTGCAACTCAATATATTCTTGTCTACTTTCTTCAGTTCTTCTTGGCTAACCTATTTCTCTGAAAAGCTTCTTGCTTTTCACTATTCCACCACCAGGTTCCCTTATCATCTACCGGTGTTCTCTGTCCAGATGACACACCAAGTACCCTCCTACCCGTTTCTCTAATCACTGCTGCTGTAGTAGTCCAGTCATTTGGAAACTCTTTCTTACCAACCAGCTCTTTCCTGAACTCTTCACAATATTCTTCTCTCCTCAGCTTCCACCATTTGCTCTTCTTTTCTGATTTTATTATTTTTCTCTTCTTCACAACAAGAGTCATTCTACACACCACCTTCAGATGCCGTCTGGCCACGCGTTCCCCTTCCAAAATGTTACGATCTTCAGTCTCCCTCAGGTTTCTTCTTCTACACAGAATGTAGTCAACCTGCGTACTCCTTTCTCCACTTTTATAGGTCCCTCTACGTTCTGCTTTTTTTTTTTTTTTAAATAAGTGCTGACTTATTGGGATGAAGCGTTGAAGTGTTTCCATTCTCTTGACAAAATCCACCACCATCTTTCCTTCTTGGTTTCTTTCCTTGGCACCAAACCTACCCATCACTTTCTCATCCTCTCTGTTTCCTTCACCAACATTTCCATTCAGGTCTGCCCTGATCACCACTCTCTCCTTCCTGGGAATACTCTATCAATTAATCCAGCTCCTCCTAAAATTTATTTTTATCCTCCACATCACATCCAACTCCATAACGCATAAGCACTGACACCATTTAGAATTTGACCTTTTAATTCTACCTTCAGACACATCACCTTATCTGACACTCTTTTCTCCTCAACTACATTCATTGCTAACTCCTTCTTTAGAACCACCCTTACTCCATTTCTCTTTCTATCCACACCATGGTAAAAAAGTGTAAACCCTGCCCCAATGCCGTGAACCTTGCTGCCCTTCCACTTGGTCTCTAGGACACATAAAACATCTACCTTCCTTCTTTGCATCATGTCAGTCAGCTCTCTACCTTTGTCTGTCAGTGTCCATACATTTAGAGTTTTCACCGTTATTCCTACATTCAGACAGTAGTAGTTACTCGTGGATAAAACATGAAACAGGACAGATTTATTTAAATTGTCACAGAAACATTGCATAGCTGTGTGCTGACAGCAGGTTGCTTCTGGAATGTCAGAAAGTACTGAGTTGAAAATGGTAATAATTTCCATTTGTGACTTTAACTGATGTGCCAACAGACTGACAACTTGTTCCTAAACTGTGATCATTCCACCAATACTTTGTTTCTACTTAGCTCTCTGAGATGCAAGAAAGGCTGATAATACTGAGGTCTTGAGTTTGATCCAAAACATTGACATTGCATATTTATTTTTGTCTCAGCTAAATTGGATGTCTACATCTCATTTTAAATGTCTATTAACCATTTGACTTGTAGACTAAATTTTGCCCCATTTTAATCTAGTTTTCTGTTGACATTTTAGATATTTTGTTAGACTAGTGGACTAGGGTAAGCTTCTAATTGCATGACAACCTTAGGCAAGAATACCACTTATGAGTAAAATGCTGTCAGAAACTGGTTTAAAATCTATCCTAACATTTTGATTTACATCTTTTGTCCATCTGTCCACCCGTCCATCCATTCATCCATCCATTATCTTCCGCCTGTTCCATAGTTGGATGGGGGTGGGGGCAGCAGCTTGAGCAGGGAGGCCCAGACATCTTATTCCACAACAACCTCTTCCAGCTCTTCTGGAAGGATTTCAAGGTATTGCCAGGACAGCCAAGAGACAGTGTGTCCTGGGTCTTTTCTGGGGTAGCCTCCCAGTTGGACATGCCTGTAAAACCTCCCTGGAGAGGCGTCTATTTTTATTTAGAATAATATTTTAAACCAAGGCTAAACTTATATTTCAGAGTCATAAGGCGGTTTGAAAACAGATTTTATTAACAGACTCTTGAGGTGTATTATGAATGTAATTCATCTCTAGCAGTTAGTTTAATGGCACTGTTGGCAGTTCTTCATTTATATATTTACTAGTGCATTGTGGTTTCTGCTTTAAGGGACTGTTGTTTTTTTTCTTTGCTTTTTTTTGTTGTGGGGCCATTTGTTATGTAGCAAGAAATAATGTATAATTCCCATTAAGAAAACTAAAAAGGAAACTTGGTTGTAGTTCCAAAATATTCTGATGCATGCTCAATAATCCAGGTAGAAAAATCGAAAAAAGTTAAATCTGGTCCTCTGGGCATTCAAACAAAAAAACCAGAGCAAAACAACAAAAAAAATGTAGAAACGTTTCGTCTTTCATCCAAAAGACTTCCTCAGTCTGAGGTGCTGTATGCAGCTCAGTCTTATAAATAGCACCTTCTCAGAGTGGATCAACCAGTTTTGCTGCTGACAACCAAAACCAGCTGATCACATGATCAAGGAGGGCCACATGTGAGCAGCTGGTTTAGGTTGTCAGCAGCAAACTGGTTGATCCACTCTGATAAGGTGCTATTTATAAGACTGAGCTGAATACAGCACCTCAGACTGAAGAAGTCTTTTGGATGAAAGACGAAACGTTTCTACATTTTTTTGTTGTTTTGCTTTGCTTTGTTTTTTGAATGTCCAGAGGACCAGATTTAACTTTTTTAGATTGGTTGTAGTTCCTTCTTATCAGCTCCACAACACGTATATAAGTGGCAGACAAACAAAATCACCAGATAATTTCATATTCATTATTCTTAAGTATTGTGCTTATTGCACAATATTAGTACGGCTTCTCCTCTTTGTAAAGTAACAATGAAGTCCTGACAAGTCGATGTTAGTTAAATATTTAGCTGGGCTATTAGCCTCCATAGCAAGCCTGCAGAACCTGCTAATATGCTAACTCTTGTAGCTCATTGCAAATGTTTGTTTCAAAACAGATTTGTCTTGAAAAGAGAGATGAGTGTTGCTCACCAGTAGACAAGCTATGATTAGCTGTTTATTTATGTTAAAATGCCTCTCCACCTCTCCACATTTTGAATGAATATTAATTGAACAAATGAATGTCAGCTTGGAGCAGCAGGTCTAATCAAAAAATATAAAAAATAAATATAAAACCATCTTGTCTCTGTTATCTACCATAGTTGTGTTGCCTTCAAATTATAAGGATGGTATGATGGAAAAAAGTGACTTTTTAAAACTGCTGTTCTTCTTTGAAACCAATAACTGGCCCATGGCTAGTTTGGACAACCCAACAATGCTCAACATGCTATTTTATTTTATTGCTGCTTTTGTGTTTGCAGACTTTACTTGAAACACTGAACACCTCATCCGAGGTGTTTTTGTGATGTTTCAAGCAGATGTTAATTTGAAAAGCTCATAAAAGTATGTTTGAGCATGGATCAGCTATTTCCTTTGTTTAATGTGGATTCTCATTTCGCATGTGTCATGCACTTTTACAGTAACAGTACTCCCTGTCTTCTTACATTCGGCTCAGTTTCATACAACTCACCCTAAAGCAGATACACATCACTGCACAAAGCATGACTTGCAAATATCTGTTGAATTAATGCAGGTTTTGTGAATCACCAACTTGCTCATGCTAGCTGGATAATAAGTCTGGTCTTGCATTGTGTTTAGTTCGACTTTGTGAAACTGCTGGATGGGAAGGCCCTGCCCAGGTCCCTGACTGATCCCGTCTCAGCCGCCAAAGCTCCTAAAGGCCTGCTGCTGAGTGGTCTGCAAGAAACTGGCTTCATTGAGTATATGGACCCCGGGACGTGGCACCTGGCTGTCTACAATGATGGACGCAACCTGGAGCAAGTGTTGCTCCACAGCACGCCGATAGGTGAGGATCATTTTTGCACACTTCTTTTCTGTTTGCATTTCACGTGCCTTCATCTTAAAGAAAATCAAGGTTGATCTGATTTCAAGTTTTGACGCCATAATCTTCCGGTGAAAGGTGAAAGACATTACTGAGCGTTATTAGTTGAATGTTCATCTACGACTGAGTAGGTTTTGGTCTCAGTGTGATTGAAAATGGCTGATGGCCCAACATGGATGAGTCAGCTTGCAGTTATTGAGCTAAAAACAATTGTGGCAAAAGCTGAAACTGTTTCTCAACACATTGTGTGAGGTTTAATAGATTGAGCAAGATCTTTGTATAAAATGTTGTCAATAACTGTTGGATTCAACCTTTTTGTCTGTTAGTAAAGAAACTCTACGATAATGAAGAAACCAGCATTTTTATTTTATTTTTTTACTTTAAAAAATAATTATTGGATGCATAGCTTCAACTAAATATTTTTCTGGTCAGTTTCATTCAACCTTTATTAATACAGGTTAGTTTTATTGAGTCTCGGGGACTCTTTTACAAGCGAGACGTGTTTTTAACAAAGAGTGATGACAACAGTGGACAACAAAGACAACAATAGGCAATCATAAAAGAAAGCATGTAAACTGAGAAGAATAAATACAATAAAAACGAAAGAAAATGGGGCAGCACGATGATGCAACTGGTAGAGCTGCTGCCTCTGAGCAAGCAGGTCCCCGGTTCAAATCCGGGGTGGAGTTTGCATGTTCTCTCCGTGCATGCGTTGGTTTTCTCCAGGTACTCCGGTTTCCTCCCACAGACCAAAAACATGCATGTAAGGGCGTCAGAAGCATCCGTAATGTGTGTGTGTGTGGGGGGGGGGTGACACAATGATGAGTGTAGGTGTGCGCATGCGTGTGTGAGCACGCGTGTGTGCGCGCGTGCACGTGTGAGCGCACTTTAAAAAAGGTGTTCACTAGTGAACAAAAAAAGCAGCATTTCACCTAGATTTCCTTTAATTCCACAGATTTAAAACATGTTTCTCACCAAGTTTGTGTAAATTTAGCTGTGGGTTTAAAGTAATTTTAACTTTAATACAGAGCGTCATGTCGACACTATTTGTCTTTATAGAGAAATAAAAAACATCACCACTGGACTTTTTTACTTGTGTTCAACACTACTCATCTAAATTATGTTTCTCATGAAGCTTGAGGACAATAAGGTGTGGGGTTTTAAACACATTTCAACTTTAATGCACCTGAACACACCACGTCTCTTACACCTGCAGCGTCTTACAGCGTCACAGTTACTGCTGAGCTAACATGCTACAGACGTAGCGCTGCTCTCAAGCATCCTCTTAACATGAATATATGTTTATGATCAACCCCCTGGTCAACCACTGCCCGCACTAAGCTGCTAAACTGGCGAGTGAGTAACACAGGCACCTCCACCTCCTCCACCTGTGCGCGTTTTCTGCTGAGGGACGGTGGAGAGTTGGAGGTAAGCAGGAAAACATGGAGTGGAGTTTTAGTGGTTGAGTATTCTCCTATTAATCAAGTGGAATGGATTTGTTCACGAAGAAAGAGAAACTGCACCGCCTGAACTAATGTTTTATAGTAAAAGTGGGGGGGTCCAAACAAACGTTTTTTTAATGTGGGGGGGACTTGTCCCCTTCACATATAATGGTTGCGACACCTATGCATGCATGTTAGGCTGATTGGTAACTCTAAATTGTCTCTAGGTGTGAGTGAGAGAGTGAATGGTTGTTTGTCTCGTTTGTCTCTATGTGTCCATGTGATGGACTGGAAACCTGTCCAGGGTGTACCCCACCCCTCAAACAGGGATTGCTGGACATAGGCACTGGCAACCCCTGTGACCCAAAATGGAAGAAGCAGGTAAAGATAATGGATGGATGGATGGATGGATGAAAGAAAATGGTATTAAAAAATGAAACAAAAACAGCTAGGTCGTAAGGCAATGTAGAAAACTAAAAACAGGAACATGTCTGCATTGTTTTTTCCCAGGAACTTAACAGATGTTTAAAGCCACTTAGAGAGGTCAAGGTCGAGAGCTTCAGATCTTTTTGTAAGATATTCCAGGAAACAGGAGCGGAATAGGACAAGGCCCTTTTGCCTAGTTTAGTCCTCACTGATGGAACACTGCATGTAATAATGTCCTGAGAGCGCACACTGTAGCTGCACTCATGCAATGACCTGTAGGAGATGTATGAAGGCAGCAGACCAAGAAGTGATTTAAAGATGAAAATGTACCAGTGAGAGAGTCTGCGTGAAGTTAATGATGTCCAGTTAACCAGTGAATACAGGGTGCAGTGGTGGGTACGATAATCACAGCCAGTTATGAATCTTAGTGCACCATGATAGACAGCATCCAACATCTACAGGGTGCTTGTCGGAGCATTCATGTAAATAATGTCACTGTAATCAATGGAGGGAAGGAAAGTTGCAGTTACAAGACGTTTCTTAGCGCTCAGAGTTAGACATAATCTGTTTCTGAAAAAGAAACCCAGTTTAACTTTCAGTTTGTTTCAAGATGGTTGTCACATCCAAATGACCTTAAGAGATACAGATAGGCTGTTTCCATCTACAGGTATTTTGAAAACATCTGGTATGGTTGTAGCTAAGATTCATATAAACATATACTCCAAGTGCTTCCCATCTTTGAGATTTTTACTCAAAACTTGAACCTTGCGTGTTTACATCAACCCTATTTTTCTGTTAGCAGAATATATCATGAACCATTGGATGGATTTTAATGAAAAATTGGATGTAAATCTATAACTGACTGACTTTTATTTTCAACCCAATTCAAGAAGACTTTCTTAACCATTTGTTATTAGCAACACAAATGTAACTTTAACCTTGTCAATTTTTACATATTAAAATATAATTACAAAGTGCTTAAAATAATAAAAATGAAATAAACATAGGTAAAAGACAAATAAAATAATAATATAAGATAAAATACAGTCTGCGAAAAGCAGATAATATGGCCAAAAACATTGTCGTTCACATTTTTTTCAAGGCTTGACTAAATTAGCGACATTTCTCAGTAAAAAATGATTTCATTTTAAAACTTTGACATGCAACGTGGTGGGCTAGATGCAGTCACTGAAGGGATGCTAGGCTCTTAAGTTTTTGTCCTTTTTTTCATACAGAAGCATAGAAACATGCTTAAGAGATATTTCAAACTCACTGACATTTCGAGGAAACTTTTCCTACGACACGTTAGTTCAGCGTGGCAGGAGAGACAGCAGTTAGTGAGGGGAGGACAGCTCCTGTAATAATAACAGGGCTTGCTAACTGCAGCTCATTGCAATGACACACACGAATGGCAGAGTAAATTGAAGAATGTGAATAATGCAAGAGTATGTGGCTGAATATAGACAAGTGGATAATTAGTGGGACAATTTCTCCACTGCCTCATCATTGTCCAGAATACCTTAACAAAATACAGCGTTTAAAGAAGCCTCGTCAAAAAAACGTGTTGGGAATTTGAGTAATTTATGAGCAGACTGGTTATCCAGCTAACAGTTTAAGGATGAGATTAACAGATGAGCAATGTTTTGTGAAAATGTAGGGCCCACCACCTTTCATGTGAGATAATTGTATTAATATTATGCTAAGAGATGTAGATATAGCCGTTTTTGCCAAACCTTCTAAATAAATTGATGTGTAAGCTTGTGAATATTATAAGATCTTGCAAGATGTGACAAGCTTAAAAAAATGCATTGAATATGACTTTCAACAATAAATACACCAAGTTTTAGCTTCTTGTTTATGAAATTGGCAGGTTTAAACCAATTTTGGATTGGTTATTGTTGATTATCTGTGGCAGCCATACTGAAAATGGCTTAACTCCAAAAGTTGTTTTAAATGTCGATCCAGTGGTTACTTTCTGAGGATTTCACTATGTTGGTTATGTCATGAGATATTTTGCTGAGTTGAACAGTTAAAATCAAAGTTTTAAAAAAATATGTAAAACGTGTAGAGCTTGGAGTATTCTTGTGAATGACTCTCAGCTACGACCACACACAGTTTGAGCTTAATATCTGTAACGGTTAAAGAGGTATAACAGTTTTTGTGTTGGTAAGGTCATGGAGGCCATCTTGCACGAGGTTCCTCCCACACTTTCACTGTAAATGTGCGTACATAGATTTTTATTGTGTGAATGTTCATGAAGCATTCACACTACGTATTGTGGTCCATTTTTCTTATTTACGTTTGTTGGAGTGATTCTCTTCCTGCAGTTTTCAAGCTGTTTCAACAAATCATGAATCAAAACATTCAGCTATTTCAGGACAATCCTGCTATGACTTTTGGTATTGGTGTAACTAGCTTTTTGAAATATTTAGCCTTTTCTGTCATTTTTTCTCATAGAAAATGAATTGATCTCATTTTACATCCTTCAAATCTTTAGATCTGTTTACAACCTTTTACTGCTCCTTTCACATTTGGTTCTGCCTCTGCTTCTTTCAGCTTCCTTGTTCAAATTTAAACTTTTCTTCAGCTACTTTCAGTAAATTTCAGCTGTTTTTTGCCCCTTTCAGCCTTTTCTAACTAGAACATGTTTGTGCTTCTTCTACCTTCTTTCTGCTAATTTCAGCTTTTTATGCTCCTTTCAGCCTATTATTTGCAAATTTCAGCTTTTTTCTACTATTTCGGCTACAATTTAGCAGGTTGTAGGTTGCTAATTTTAGCTTTTCAGCTAATTCCATGTTTTGCACTCATTTCAATTTTTTTCTGCCTAAATCAGCAAAAATGTGCTCTCTCCTCTTCCTTCTGGTAATTTATTCTTTTTTAAATTATTTTTAGCTAAAAAGTACTTTCCAGCTGTTTTCTTTTGCAAATTTCTGCAATTTTTATATAATTTCAACTTTTTTGTGCTCATATCTGATTTTTTTTTTCAGCCTAATTGAGCAAATGTGTTCTTTCTACTTTCTTCTGCTAATTTAAGGTTGTTCTATCTTTTCAGCTATCTTATTTTTTTATTTCGTCACTATTTTTGGCTGTTTTCAG